AAATAATTGAATTTCTACCAAAAATTTTATTAAAATTTCTAAAAATTATTGAATTTTTGCGAAGAATATTATTATTTATGAAAATAATTGAATTCTTGAGGAGATTTTTATTAAAGTTTTTTAAATAATTTAATTCCTGCGAAGAAATTATTGTGTATGAAAATAATTGCATTTTTGTGAAGAATTTAAAAAAAATAGAATTTTTTAGAAGAATTTCAATAAAATTTTCATTTGTTGATAAAATATTTAATTAATATTTAGTCCCCAAAATTTTGAACGTTCAAATGAACGAAATTCATTTATTTCTTCTTCTAAATTTTTTCACAATAATATTGCGTTATATTAAAATAAATAACAAACATAAATTATAAACTTATAAAGTTTTTAAATTTTTAATTTCGTTTTTGATTTTTATTGGAAACAGAAACTCTTTTTTTTGAGAGCGCGTTAAATTTGTTCAGAATTTCATAATTTTGTTGAAAATCTCTGTTTTCTTGAAAGTATCAAATTGATACAAGAATTTTGTATCAAATTGATACCATAGTAGATGAAATTAATGTCAAAAATTTGCATCAAATTAATACCAAAAATTTGTATCAAATTGATACCAAAGTGGATCAAATTAATACGAAAAATTTCGATCAATTTTTTATTCGTTCCCTATTTTTGATATCAATTCGTCGCAATTTGATACTTTGAAGTTATAGTGAGCTGCTCCTTTTTAAATATAGATTAACAGCTATTTTATTTATAAAAAAATAAGAGAATTTTTTACATTTCTTTTTTAATATATAATAATTTTATGAAAAGAAAATTTCTTTTATTTTCACAATGTCACTTTTATGCTGCTTCGTATTTTAAGAGGAATTTATATCGAGCAGTAAGTTTAAGTTTTTAGAGTACATATAGCACATGAGTGAATTTTATTATTCGTGATATTTAGAAGCCCTCTGGTGTAAATTATTTTTACTGAAGACAGCTTTACAGCTAAAGCAAGCTAAAGTCAAGACTAAAACTGGAATTTCTTCGTGTGTATGGGTCAGTCGTCGAATATGTGGTTGGAAAAAAAATGAATCACATGGACTTAGTTGCAGGGACTACCTGAGGGCGGTGACGACGTTCATAAGAAATAAACTTGCAGCGATGGGGGGAGCAGATGACACACACAAGGCATGCATAAAATGAAAAGAAAACATAATAGCTGAACGGCAATTTTTTTGATTCGATATATAGGGAATGTATCATATAATATGATAAGATCGTATCAGAAACTTTTTTTTTCTTTCTTCAATATTTTTCATTCTAATTGTTTTACATTTGAGTAAATTATAATTTCTTCTAATTTCAGATTTTCCTACTTTTATTTTATTTTAATAAAAATGCAAAGGCAAACTAACTTCAAACTTCGAACAGATTATCGGAATACTATTTTTAATATAGAAGAAGATAATTAACTTTTACTGTATATTTTTGCAGTCGATTTTTAAATTTGACTCTCGACTCCGATTTGACATTAACTCCCGAATTTTTTTTCACAGAAACGACAGAAATCTAATAATTTAAAATTTAAAGCAGATATTAACATTCTACTAAATTAGGGAATTTTACATTCAGTGAATCGCAAAAGGTCAAATAGCGCATAATTTTAAGAAAGATAAACTTACCATTAATTTAATCATATTTGATTTTTCCAAATAAATAAATTTAATTTCCCCAGCCAAAGAGAAAACATAGTTTAGAAAAAATGTGTAAAGTAAATTTTAGTAGGATATGAAAAAAGGAAAATTATTTTTTAGTCATTTGATTATTTTTTATATTAAAAAAAAAAAAAATAGCTTTATTTAATAAAACGTAACTTGTCACTGGATTTCCGATAAGCTAATGTTCTTAAATAACAATTAGGATACAAATTAAAGATACATAAGTAGATTCTAATAATACACACAAGTACAGATGCTACACCGAAAATTTAATCAACTTTTCGATTGGTAATTTGTTCCCGATAATTTTAAACAATCGGTTCATAGTTTCCTTGAGAGAATTAAATTGATACCAAAAGTAGATCATATTAGATCATATTATTGTTATCAAAAATTTGGATTCATTTATGATTCGATCTATATTCTTATAGTATCAATTCGTTGCAATTTGATATTTCTATACAACATAAATTTAAACATATGTTCGAACTGACTTCACATTTGGAACATTGGAACATTGGAACATATAACTGTCGAAAACGGTCCTTTCTTAAAAATAGAAAAAGAGCCTAGTTTAAACAAAATGACTTCAAATTAAATATAGATTATATGGGGCACTAGGCACCACAAAAACTACATAGTTCTTTTTTGGAAATTTTATCTACCTCCCTCTCACTTGAAAATTTTGTTAACACTGTTGCATACATTATTTTTCTTTACTGATCGCAGCAAATAGCTTGACCCCCATCCCACTTGAAGACCCTTTATTTAAAGATCATATAATGCGTTTTCCCGTATGTTCGGATAGGTTTACCGTTGAAAATGCCGAATGAAATTTTCCACCTGGTCAATATACAGCTGGGCCCCACCTGGATTATGGAAAATCTAAAAGATCAAATCGATCAACACTGGACTTGCTCACTCAAAAATTAGAAATAAAAACCTACTTCTTTGAAATTATGTCGAGTCATTTTTTTTCTACAATAAAATCTTTCATTATCTGCGTCCCAATGCACCGAAAAAAAATCTTGAAATAAGGAGAAAATTTAGCTCAACAATTAATTTTACATTTTATTTTCAATTATACACTGAGAAAACAGTATTCAGTAAAACCTGTCGGAATGCAACTCGATTTTTAGAATTTTATTACAGTAAACAATCCTTAAAAAATTATTTTATAATTTAATTTGGTAATGTTTTTTATATTTTTACAATATTCTGGAACTAAGGGAACATAATTTTTGTTGGACATAATGGAAACAAATTTTTTTAAAATAGAGATGCATTCCGACAGGTTCGACTGCATTTGAAGCAAACATAATCTTTGTTATACGGAGAAACAAAAATAATTTTTCAAGTAAACATAATAATTTTAATTCAATAAAAATACAATAAAATATTCAGTAAAAAATTTGGTTCAATAAAAATTCAAAAATTCAAAAAAACTCAATATTACAAAATATATTTAATTCAAACATTTGTTTTTGGTTGGCTACATATTTTTAGAATAAAAAAAATTTATTTTATAATATTATTTATAATTCATCAAAATATGCTGAATAGTTTTTGGAAAACTAAGTTGAATATATACATTAAATTTTTTTGAACTGTTTAGTATTTTTTAATAAAATTTATGTAGAATATGCTGAATAGTTCTGGAAATTTTTTGTTTGTCTCTTTTCAATTTTCTCAAAACTGTTCTGTATTTTTTAATGAATTTCATAAAAAATATGCTGAACTGTTTTGGGAAAGTTTAAATATAAAGACTGTAAATTTTCTCAAACTGCACAGTATTTTTTAATTTCATGAATCAATAAAAAATTTGTGAATAGTTTTAGAAATTTCTTTAACTATTATAAATTTTCTCAAATTGCTTAGTATTTTTTAATAAAATCAATAAAATACGCTGAAGATTTCTGAAAAATTTTTAATTCACTACATTAAATTTCTCTAAACTGTATAATATTTTTTAATGAACTTTATAAACTATGCTGAATAGTTCTAGGTAATTTATTTGAATACTTTCAATTTTCTTAAACTGTTTAGTATCTTTTTGTCATTTTCTCCTTTTATATTTTCTCAAATTGCTCTCTAATTTTAAATTTTAATAAAGTCAATAAAATATGCTGAACAGTTCTGGAAAAATTTTATTTGTCTCTCTTTAATTTTTTCAAAACTATTTAGTATTTTTTAATGAATTTCATAAAATATGCTTAGGAAAATTCGTTTAAAGACCATAAATTTTCTCAAACTGTACAGAATTTTTTATTTTCTTGAACCAATAAAAATTGTTGATTAGATCTAGAAAATTTATTTGAAAGCTATAAATTTTCCAAATTGACCAGTATTTTTAATAAAGTAAATAAAATATGCTGAACAGTTCTGGAAAATTTTTATTTATCTCGTTTCAATTTTCTCAAGTAGCTCAGTTTTTTTTAAATGCAGTTAATAAACTATAATGAATAGTTCCGAAAAATTCATCTTCCTTCTTTATATATTTTGTCAAATTGATTAGTATTTTTAATAAAGCCAACAAAGTATGCTGAACAATTTAGAAAATTTTTTATTTGTTTATACTTTAAATTTTCTTAAAACTGCTCAGTATTTTTTAATGAATTTCATAAAATATACTGAATGGTTTTAGGAAAATTTGTTTAAGAACTATAAATTCTCTCAAACCGCATAGTATTTTTTAATCTCCTGAAGCAATAAAATATGCTCAACATTTCTGAAAAAATTTTATTTTACATTAAATTTTCCTGAACTGTCTAGTACTTTTTAATCAACTTGATAAAATATGCTGAATAGTTCGAGGTAATTTATTTTAATACTTTGAATTTTCACAAACTGTTTTTTAGTATCTGTTTGTCATTTTCTTTTTTTATATTTTCTCAAATTGCTCATAGTATTTTTAATGAAGTCAAATAAAATATGCTGAACAGTTCTGGAACATTTTCATTTGTCTCGTTTTAATTTTTTCAAATAGCTCAGTTTTTTTAAATTGTAGTTCATTAAATATTTCATGACCTAATGACATTAATGGAATTTGCTGAACAGTTTTGGAGAATTTCAGAAATATGAATGAAAAATTTTTTTTCGTAAATTTTCCAAAACTGTTCAGCAAATTTCATTAATGTCATTAGGTTATGTTTCTTCTGGTTTTTATTGTGTATGAATAATTTATTTTTCTGATGCAAAAAGAAACTAATAATATCTAATAATTTTTTTCTGGTGAAAAAAGAAACTTCTGATATAATAACTGCTAAAAAATCAAAAAATGGAAAATCGCTAGACATGGGAGTAGAATTTTTTGGAGTAGAAATACAATACACACTCTTCTTATCAATCTACAACTTTAAGAACAGGATTCTTATCTCCTTTTCCCCTGAAATAGAAAATTTAATTCTCAAAAACAAATTGGTATACAAACAAGCAGAGTTTTGAATAAAAATGCATTTCTTCTCGCCTTCAGTAGGTTAATCTCAAGGAATGTGTCTCAAGAAGGTAACAATATCATTTTACATATATGCTATTGCATCAGACATACAGCGTCTATATAATGGATTCTGGAGCAGTCAGTCAGGAACTCAGGAAGCCATAAAGGACAAAATGCGAAAAAAGAATGAGAGAGAGAAAGAAATGTTTTGCAAAAGAAGGAAGAAATAAGAAAAGGAAAGCAGGGATAAAGTATAAGAATAAGAAAAAGGGTCGAGAGGAACGATGAGAATAAAAAGGGAGGCAAAGTACATACAAGCAAGTCTGTGGTAGCATTACAGAGACGGAGTTTGAGTTTCGGTTTCGTTTGACTTGCGCCTACTCTCGAGCTCGATGTGAGTTGTTTCTCTGTCCTTTCCTCAGTTGCGCGCGAACCGCGGTGCCGCGTGCATTTCATTGTTGGTGCATTGCTGTGAGATCGCATATTATTATTATTGCCTTGCGCTTATTTATCACACAACACATTTTTCCATCACATACAATTTATGATTTATTCCTACTGACACCTTCTCTCTTATTGATTCTCTAGAAAAAAAAAATTTCCTCTTGCTCCAAAAAATAGAAATTAAAAAAAACACGATTTTCTAGATATACAGAAAATTTCGAATATTAAAAAGTAATTAAAAGAAAAATTTTCGAGACTGAATTTTAAACTGCATTTGACAAAAAAGAATTTGAATCAGATTTGACTTTTGAAAAAGAAGCGGGAAATTTGAATAAAAGGGGCGAAAAATTGAGAAGGAGGAATTGTTTGGGTGAGTTATTTGGAGCATTATTATTTTTTGATATAAAAAGAAAGCAGTACGAATGTGGAATCGAGGGTTATCGTTGAGAAACGTGCGCTATCAGTGGGGCCGGAGCTGATATCATAATCATTGATGCGGTGGTCCGCGGTGCATTTAGTGATACATGCTGTTGTGAACAAGAGTTTAGGAAAGGCTGCGACGAAGATTGCGGGCGGCGAAGATAAAGAGAGAAAGAGAAGAAGGAGGACTAGAAGTAGAAGAAGGAGGAGAAGGAGGAAGCTCGCGTAGCATCAAAGTGCGGTGGCACCGGTTACTATTTTTGAGAGCGCGAAATATTTTGGTTCCAAGCTATTCACAAGTGAGCCTACATCAACTATACATGACGCACGGAATCTCCGGAAGAACTTGAGTGACAGGTAGGAGAGTCATTTTCTACCTCCCTCTGTGGTCCAGTGATCTAGTTCCTTATACTGCTTGCCAAAAATATAAATTAATTCCTTTTTTATTCAAATTTGAGGATTTATTTCAAATTTTCCCTATCAAATAATTCGAGTATCTATTTTATGTATCAAAATAGTCAGGGAATATTTCGATTCTAAAAGTTTAATTTTCTTTCGGTTGCTTTTGAAAATGCCTTGAATTTTTACTTTACAGAGTGGGAATTATGATCAATTTGTTGGGTACCAAAACACTAAGCTTAGAAAATTAAATCTTTGAGTCAGTAAAATTTAAAAAAAAGGGGAAAAATATTTTTGAATGAGTAAACTAAAAAAAACAAATTGACTAACTTTTTGCTTTTGAATTAGTAAATTTTACTACACGGGGAAAAATAAAAAGCAACTTTTACTACTTTTATAGTAAAAAATTTCCGGTAAAGCATTTCTGGTAATTTTTACTACTTTTGGAGTAAATTTTGCTACGTTCGAAGTACATATTTGTAAAAATTAGTAAAATTTACTTCAAACGTAGCAAAATTTACTCCAAAAGAAGTAAAAATTACCAGAAATGCTTTACCAGAAATTTTTTACTGTATAAAATTAGTAAAAGTTACTTTATATTTTTCTATTAAATAGAAATATCTACTAATTTGTTCGTAAAATTTACGAATTAAAAATCAAAAAGTTTAAGTTTCTTTTGATTGAAAAAATGAAAAAGGTTAAAAAAATAATGAAAATGGTTTGAATTTTCACTTTACAGAGTGTGAATTATGGGCAATTTGTTGGGTACCAAAACACTAAACTTAGAAAATTATAACTTTGAATTAATAAAATTTCAAGAAAAGGGAAAAAATCTTTGAATCAGTAAAAGTTGAAGAAAAAAGGGAAAATATTTCTAAATGAGTAAAATTTCAAAAAAACAAATTGACTGACTTTTTGCTTTTGAATTAGTAAATTTTACTAATAAATAGAAATTTTTACGAATTTATTAGTAAAATTTACTAATTCAAAAGAAAAAAGTCAGTCCCCAATTAAAATTAGTAAATATTTTTTCTAATTCAAACTTGTAGTGAATTAGGAAAATTTCCAAAAATAGGGAAAATAATATCTTTGAATCAGTAAAATTTCAAAAAAAGAGAAAACAATTTTAAATTCTTTTTTTTTTTTTAAATGGAAAAATATCTTTGAATTAGTAAAATTTTAAAAAAGAAAATAATATCTTTGATTCATCAAGTAAAATTTCCCAAAAAAAGTTACTTATTTTTTGTAAATAGTCCTCTAAATTTAATTTCAAGCTACAATGTACAATGTAATAGAAAAAACTTTTTCGATTTTGAAAAAAGAACTGTTTTTGACAGTTTTCCTAGTTTATAAGTAGACAAAATTTTAAAGAACTGATTTTTCAAAATAATATACATAATACTCTTTGATCAAAAATTATGTTTAAATTAAATATAATAAGATTGGCTTAATGCAGATTGTGTTTAATTCAATAATTAAAGAAATTATATTCAATTCAAATTTATAATAATAATAATAATTTAATTCAAACATAATGTTTGGATTGTCTATTTATGTTTGAATGAAAAACTTAAAAAATATTACACTTAATTAAAATACAATTTTGGATCGGTTTTTTTAAAATAAAGTCAGTTTATAAGCTTAATCCCAATATATGAAAAATATTTTGCAACTTTAATAAAATAATATTATTTGTTTGAATAATATATTTAATTCAGAAACATATTTTGTTTTGGCTTAAATGTTCCTGAAATTCTGAACGTTCAAATAAATAAAATTTTTGTTTTTTTTGAGTATTTTTTTTACCAAATTACCAAATGGTGATTAAATACCAAAAATATTTTCTAAATTAAAAAATGAATAAAAAATTATAACACAAAATTTGTTTGAAACGACAAAATTCTGGTTGATTTAACCAAATAAATTCATTGCTGCATCAGAATTCCACAAAAATTTTAATTTTCTGGTGTTGTACTAACTTTGGTAAATTTATTGTTCTGTCTAAAAATAATAAAATCCTGAAATATTAACTTTTTTTGAAAATTAAATAAAAACAATATTTTCAACCCATCTTTTATCAAAAATAAACCTTATTTTCCATTTTGAACAAAAACTACCACTTTTTTATTTTTTAAAATTACTTTTCGGGGAAAGATGGAATTTTTTTCAATAAAATATGTAAAAATTAAAGTGGGTCAACGATGAGTTTTCAAAAAAATAAAAAAAAGTGTTTAAAAAGTTGTTTTTTTATTTTCTCGAAAGTATGCTGTTGTTCCACTTTATTTTTTAAATATACCTATATATTTTATTGGAAAAAATCTCAACTCTCCAATAAAAATGATAAAAAAAAGATTTTGTAAAAATTGAAAAATCAGATTCATTTTTGAAAAACAAGGGATTAAAAATTTAAAAATAATTTTTAGCATTGAAGAGTACACAAAAAATACTGTAAAAATTAATTTAAGGCGACCAAACATTCGGTTAAACTAAAAATCTTCTTCGAATGACCAAATTCTTTCATAAAATGCAAAATTTATTTTAAAAAAATATTTCTTTCTGTTAAATAAACTTTAGTTAAAATATGTTAAAAATAAGGTTTATTCAAGAAAATAGAACATTTGTTTCAATTATATTTCAATTAGACTTAAATATGTTTGACTGTATAGCATAGATAAGTTTATGATTTAAACAAAATTGATTCAAATAAACGGTTTTCTCGTAGCAAAATCGAGATTTTTAACTCCAAAAGTTTCACTTCCAATGGTTTAATAGTCTTTACTCTTTAACTTCCCGATTTTTTTCATTCACTTTAAAAATATTTCCAAAAATAATTTCAGTCCCTAATACAGTATTCATATCGTATCTTCGATCTGTTTTTTATTTTATTTCTTATTTTCCTTACATTGTTAACAGAGAATCTTACTTTAAATAATATGAGAAAAGAAAAATGTACCTAACTTGTTAAGATTTATTGTATTTTTACGACACTAACTTTTTATTTATTTCGTACAACTGTTACGAGTTTTTATAGTCTATTACTTTTATTTTCTAATAATACGAAACAAGAAATATTTTTTCTTTTATTAACTATATTTCTTCAAAACAATTCCAATTACAATTACAATTACTTTCTTACAATTACTATTGTTAAGAATGTTTGTTTGTGTAAGAATTGTTTGTTTAATTTAACAATTATGTTGATGAAAAAACATTTTTATTGTACCTGTATCTAAAATTAATTCTAAATTTTATTTAGTATTGCTAAAAACTTTAGAATATAAACTAAATCTTTTTGTAATGAATCTTTTTTAAATTTGAAATGATTCTGGGTTGAAACGAAAAATTTCAATTTTTTGTTTTTATTTACAATATGAACAAATTCAGGTCAGTAAAGACAGGAGGGAATAATTTTCAGTTTTTACTATAAAATAAATCTGATACGAAGATAAAAGCTTGGTACAAGCTTACAAGAAAGACTGTTCAATTATGAATCGTTTCTTCGGGGTAACGAATTCTTTTTTGGATATTCATTTCTGAGTATGTAATTTTTTTCTTTAAAGTGTACTGCATTTTTTGCTCTGCTTTCAGTACCTATTAAATTCAAGAATACATTTATTGTATTTTATTGTCGTTTTTCTTGTCTCTGACTTTATAATAGCAAATCGAGAATTTATTACATTTAATTCGTTATTTACAACTATTTATTGTGTCAATATCAATTATTATCCACGAAGGCTCCACTAAAAAAGTGAAAATTCACTCGAAATTGAAATGAAATTTCACTTGCGTGGAGTGAAAGTTCACTTCACTGCAATTCCTCCCCTTTGAGGATGGTGCATTCTGTACGAGTTTTAAAATAAAATTCAGCTAATAATCTGATCGTAATTTTCGAAAAATAAAATTTCTATTTTTCGTAAATATTTATTTACGAAATATTAAACTCAAAATTTTAATTTTTTGTAAAGTATACTTTACAAAAAATTACAATTATTATAGTAATTGTAATTTAGTACCTAAATTTCCAAAAAAAAGTGTTGACGAAATTAGTTTTTAGGAATATTCTAGGGGTGCTTACTAAATAATTTCAAGAGAACTGATTTTGTTTGTTAACAAATTCTAATTATTGTTTATTAAAAAAAAAAAATACTGTTCATTAACTTATTTTCTGTTGAACGGTCAAGAAACATTGACATTGAAAGATATGCGATATGACAATTGATAACAGTTATTTTGTCATTTAAAATATACGAGCGATGATAAGTGCGGAATATTATCAAAAGTCGTGACAAATCGAAGTAAGCAGGAAAATTGGAAAATGATCAGTCACGGTTTTCACTAGCATTTTATACACTTGTAGGAACATTGTAATGAGCCTCACTCTTAACCTACGAAACATTTCTCGAAATTTAAGTCAATAAAAATTTATAAAAATAAAAAGAACAAATAAACACATAAGAAGAACAGTTTCTTTTTTAATGGACAAATTTTAATACTCTAACATTAGTTAAACTGTTCTAAAAAAAATTTAAGAATATTTTCTACATCTTTGAGAATGGTCAATGACTTCACCGCTACATCTGAATAGATGCTGAATAGATTTTTGCAAATCTATTTTTTTCTTCTATTAATACATTTTTTTTTTTGCAAAACCCGTCATATAGTGATAGAGTTAAAATATATGAAAAGAATATGCAAATGAATCTAATTTGTTCTAACGTTTTTTGAAGCAAAAATAAATTAGCATAGAGTATGTATAAAAAATATGCCGATCAATCTGGTTGCGGATGCTTTTTCGCGAGTATGGTACCTCCTAACTTTATACATTAAAAATCTGTCGTCATTTTTTACATTCCCCACATCTTTCTTTTTGCATTTGAGATTGTATTTTCTTAAAAGAACGTGACTGGCATTTCCGGAGGACCGTAGACGATACGTCATTCGTCAAACGTCGCGATTTA